GGACCAAAATAATTGCAAAGAAATCTTGACCTTTTACTCAGTAAGTTTGTTGTTGGTCGTATATGGGTCTTAAAACTATTTGGTGCATACCTTAGGATAGTGCAAATGTGTTATTGTTGCAGGGAGACAGAACTATGTCATGGGGAAAGGTAAGAATATGTGGTTTTAGGTTTTTCATGTTAGCCTTTTGAAATGGCATAGAAGGTTAACACCACCAGGAACAACGATCATATCCAGTACCAGTCCTTGGTTTCTAAATAGCATTCCTTGGTGAAGGAAACCAAGGCTCCTTGCAGAGATGTGTGATTTCAGGTAGTCGGTCATAACACAAGGTAAGCCCATAACATCTAGTGGTACCAGAAAGGAAAGAAATGATCAAAGGCTGTTGAGGACAAGTCCAACATACACAGAGAACTCCCACTGCCTAACGTAGGGTGCGTGAGCATCACACCAACCAACCGAAAACTAGTGACAGATGTTGAATTAACAAAAAAAGTTTGCTATTAAAATAGAACATAAGAACATTTGGGGTTGGAAGGGTAAGTACTTTTTTAGAAAAGAATGAAAGATAATAAATATAAAAATAAATTTGGAAAATCACTACTTTGTAATTGTTGATGTAAGAACCGGTTACGGCAGGAAGATGAATGCACATTAAAACTGTTCGTTGGTTCAGAGAACAGCCCCCTTCGGAGAGCGGCGAGACGACACGTTGTTGACACACAAAATATGTGCCTGTTCCAAGGCACTAGCCCTCAGGTTCCTGCGGTGCACGTTTGGCTCAATATTCATAGCTCAGTTAATGTGAAACACCACATAAAAAAATGAAGTATAGAATATCACATGATCATGTATTAATAGATAGAGAAAAAATTTTTGGAGAGTATCCAACGTCCATTTATGATGCAAATTCTCAACAAAGTGTGGCTAGAGGGGTCATACCTCAGCGTAATAAGACCATGTAAGACAAACCCACATCTAATATCATACTCAATTGTGAAAACCCGAGAACTTTTTCTCTAAGATGAGGAATAGGACAAGGATGTCCACTTTTACCACTTTTATGCAACATAGTACTGGAAGTCCTAGCCACAGCAATCGGACAAGGAAGATAAATAAAAGGCATTCAAATTGGAAAGGAAGAAATAAAACTATCAATATTTGCAGATGACTTGATACTGTATAGAGAGAACTGTTAAGAAGCCACCATAAAACTGTTAGAATTAATAAATTAATTCAGTAAGGTCATATAATACAAATTTAATATTCAGAAATCAGTTGCATTTTTATATGCCAATAAACTTATCATAAAAAGTTTTAAAAATCCCATTAATAATTGCATCAAAAAGAATAAAACACCTAGGAATAAATTTAACCAAATTTAAGACTGTACTCAGAGAACTGTAAGATATTGCAAAAAATACAAATAAATGGAAGGCTATTCCCTGCTCATGCATATGAAGAATTAACATTACTAAAACACCTATACTCCCAAAAGCAATTTACATAGTCAATGCAAATCCCTATCAAAATACCAATGGCATTTTTCACAGAACTAGAACAAATAATCCTAAAATTTATATGGAACACAAATACCCTGGATAACCAAAGCAATACTGAGAAAGAAAAAGGGAGGTATCATGATCCCTGATGTCAAACCATACTACAAGGCAATACTAATCAAAGCAGCATGGTACCGGCACAAAAACAGACAGATAACTCAATGGAAGAGAATAGAGAGACTGTATATAAATCCACACATATATGGTCAATTAATCTATGACAAAGAAGGCAAGGATATACAATGGGGTACAGGCAGTCTCTGAAATAAATGATATTGGAGAAACTGGACAGATTTATGTAAAAATATGAAACTAGACCACTTTCCTATACCATCTACAAAGATAAACTCAGAATGGATTAAAGACTAAACGTGAGACCAGAAACCACAAACTCCATAAAACTCCTAGGGAAGAAACAGGCAGTAAACTCTTTGGCTTTGTTCTTAACAATATGTTTTTGCATGTCTCCTCGGGCAATGGAAATAAATGAAAAAATAAGTGGAACTACATCAAAGTAAAAAGTTTTTGGACAACAAAATGAAAAGACAAGCAGCTTTTGTCTTTTGCACAAAGTGGAGTGCAAAGTGGGAAAACATATTCACCAATGACACATCCAGTAAGGGGTTAATATCCAAACTACGTAACGAACTCATACAACTTAACACCAAAACAGAACAATCCAATTAAATAATGGGCAGAGGACCTGAATAGACATTTTTCCAAGGAGGACCTACAAATAGCCAATAGTCATATGAAAAGATGCTCAACATCACTAGCCATCAGGGAAATGCAAATTAAAACCACAATGAGATACTGCCTCACACCGTCAGAACCGCTGTCAGCAATAAATCAACAAAAAGCAAGGGCTGGCGAGGATGTGGGGAAAAGGGAACCCCACCCCCATCACTGTTGGGGGCTTCGTAAATTGGTACAGCTACTGTTGAAAGCATTATGGAGTTACCTCAAAAAATTAAAAAGTGGAACCACGATATGACCCAGCAATTCCACTTTTGGGTATTTATCTGAATCAAAACGCTTGTTCAAAAAGCTATATACCCCCCGTGTTCAATGCAGCATTATTAACAATAGCCAAGATAAGGAAGCAACATGAGTGCTCACTGGTAGACGAATGGACTGAGAAAGAAGTGGCCCATATATACAATGGAATTACTCAGCCATAGGAAAGAATGAAACCTTCCCATTTGCAACAGCACAGATGGGCCCAGAGGGTATAACGCTGAGTGAAATAAATCAGAGAAAGGCAAGTACCACATGATTTCACTTACATGTGAAAACTAAAAAAGAAAAGAACGAACCAACAGACTCACAAATGCAGAGAACAAACGGGTGGTTACTGGATGGAAGGGCGGTTTGGGGGATGGTGAAGGGGATTAAGACCTACAAATTGCCAATGATAAGGACGGTGATGGGAACGCAAAGCGCAGCGGAGGGAGTATTAGTCAATAATATTGTAGTAGTAGTAATAATATGCCCTAGACTTACCGGGGTGATAGCTTTGTAAGTTGTGTAAGTATCAAATCACTATGTTGTACACCTGAAACTAATATAACAATGCATGTCAACTGTAATTAGAAAAAGTTACTAATTACAAAAGCAAAATGATTAGTTTGTGATGGAGAAATGTAGCCAACATCACCTTAGTCAAGCGATCAAACTTTGTATTACAACAATGGGACAAGCTGGTATTTCATGCCTCCTTACGTGCTAGAATGCAAATGATACAACATCAACTTGAATATTTTCAGGAGGGAGAAATGGGGCAATTAAAGATGTAAGATATTTTATAAGGAAGCTCGCCTAGACTCCACATTAAAATGAACTAAGTGTAAATGAAACAGAAGCAAAATAATGACATTGATGATACAATTTGTGATCCTTGATTAAGAATTTTAGAAATAAAATAGCTATGAAAGACATTGAGACAACAGGAAAAAATTAAATAGAGGCTTATATTAAAAAGTATCATACCAATATTAACTATCTTGCATATAATACATTGTATTCATGTAGGAAAATGTCGTCTTAGGAGATACATGTAGAATATTTCTTTAGGGGTAAATTCAGTGTGACTGTTAGCAACTCAGTTCAGAAAAAAAATATTTGTGTACAAATAACGGTCACACACAGGAGAGAGGAATAAATGTAGCAAAATGTAAACAACTGGTGAGCTTCAGTGAATAGAGCTTTTTTGTACCATATTTTCAAGTTTTCCATAGGTTTGCTTTTCAAAATAACAAGTTGAAAAAAAATTTCTTTATTGGGCCCACAAGCTTCTTGGTATCCTTTGGGTTTATTTTGTTTGTATATCAAGTTGTTGTGAAGGTTTTCTTTTTTCTTTAAAAAAGTGTGTTTTGGGTTAGCTTGTTGGAGCCTCTCCCTTGACACTTGGCTCTTCCCTTTGAGTTTCTGGACAATGTGATTTTCCAAATGTGCATGCTACGATATAAAATAACTTCAGGGAAAGAAATGTTTGTTAACCTCCACGGAGCTCCAATTTATAGGGAAAACTTTGAAAATAAAATGGACACGTCATATCTCCTTTATAGTCGCTCAATAAATTCGTGCTTAAACAGGAGCGTGTTCTGGAAGCCTCTCAATATCATTAGCATATCTGATAGCAACAATAGTAGCAAAGAAGCAGCTGCAGGCCGTGCGGGGGACCTGTAGAAGGGCGGCGTCCCAGGAGAGGGCCTCGGCCTGCATGTCAATCAGGTTTGCCGCCCTCTTCAGGGCTGCCGGCCAGGTCCCCAGCGAGCCCGCGGACGACGTCCCTAAGGGCTCCTTCCGTCCCGGGGCCCAGCCTCCCGTCCTCTGAGACGAGTCTTGTCCCCGTCCCTTCCCGTGCGTCTCTGCTGATGTGGGTTCTTGGCTGTCGGCCCTCATCTTTCCAGCGGAGCCCTTCCCGGAGCTTCCCATCCCGCCTTGCGGCCTTTCCCGGGCGCCGCTGCTGGGTTGCTCCGTGAAGTTCCCACCCCTCCTCCCATCTAGCTCTGGCTGCTCCTCCGGTAGGTGGGACAATGTTCTTTGCAAAACAAATGTACATATTTTCATGTCTGAGATATTGTAGAAAACTGAGAATGACAACCAGCTCCAGGGCCCGTGCGCGCCGGCTAAGGAGGGTGGCGCGGGGGCTGCGGACCCCGGGCCGGGCAGCCAGCCCTTCCCTGAACCGGCTTCCACCGCGGTCGCTGCGCGGCTGCTGAGCTGAGCAGCTCTGGACTCCCCCTGAGCTCGGTGCTCCTGTGTGCAAAGCGGAGGGCAGATCAGGGTCAAGGAGCCCTGTGTTTTCTGCGTAACCTTGAGCATCATCTTTCCATGGAACCCAAGACCTGGAGCCAGTTCTATTTTCAAGATGGTAACGGTGGTCCTAACCAAAAAATTTCCTCTTGGCTTTCTCTGTGTCTCCCGTGGCTTCAGGTTTCCCTGGGACTTCTGCACGCCCACGCCACGCACATCCTGTGGCCCCCGGAGCGCTGGCAGCGGCTGGAGTCGGTGCTTCCGCCCGAGCGCCTGCCGGTTCGCAGCGCAGAGGACTGAGCGCGCCGCGACCGCGGGAAGGCGACTCTCAGCAAGACGATGCCACGCAGGAAACACATCTGTCGCATTGAAAGCACCCGATTTTGTGGTTGATTGTAATACCCTGTTGTTTTATGAAAAAAGAAAAAAATGCCAACCTTTGGGAATATGAGCATTATATTCCCCGTGTCTTATACGGGGTAAATGTGAGGTTTTGCTGTGCGTACTTACTCTATTGATTGTTGAGTTTTGATTCTGGTGCTTGCTGCTGAAAGCATACGAAAGTGAGTATTTGATGAAAGTTATTGCTTGAGTCTTGTCATTTAGTCTTAAGACAGAACACGAAGGAGCATATTACGCACATGCTGATAGGAATTATATTATAATCGACAGCATCTACAGTGTAGCGGCTGCCCGGCCGGGATGAATGGGAAGCTGATGTAAAAATAAACGTTGATTTGCTCAGGTACCGTTGTGGGTGTTTGTCATTGAACCTGTACACCATTAATGAGGACTATCTTCTCTCTTTTGGAGGACCACTTATATCAACATGACCAATTCTATCAGTGTGACCAAACAATCAAACCTTTCTTAGTGGCCCTTTTTAATTAAAAAAACTTCTGAGTGATCTCATGACTGTTCACATTGACGAGTAAACCCATTTATCAGTATTTGGTCACTCTTTGGTAAAATGTCCCAAGTGAAATGGGGGAAAACAATCACTCCAGGTGAACCAAGTTTGATTGCTACCCCAACGATTTCTCAGTGATCATGACTAATACCGAAGTCACCAATCGCCAAGAGTTGCAATAGTAGCATAATGGATTCTGTAACTGTACAGATAAGGAGGTACATTGCCAGCATGCAAGTCTATGATTATGAAGCTTACCTCCTTTTTTCCCTCCCATTGAGCAGAGGCTTGGGCTGATGGAAACTTCGTCTCTGAACCAATGTCCTCTGAATGCCTACTCTCGTTCCCTCTACTTCATCAGCAGATATGGTCTTCCAAAGAAGGACCAGCCATCTTGCAAACTCACTAGTTCGCAGGGACACAGGAACAACAGAAAGAAAAAATAAAACATATTAAAAGCACTTGTTACTAAGGACAATTCATTATCACAATAGTTTGTTTACCAAGCATCAGGGAGTACTTATGCAAATTCTAAGGTTGATCAAAATAAAGGTATTAAAAGAAGAGATGCTGAAAATCTTTCCATGGATCTTCATTACCTTTATCAATTCTTCAATTCCATTTTGCCCTCTTCCCCAAGTTAAACTTCCTGCTCTGGCCTTTAGCTGCAGTGTGCCAAATACATACTGCTAGTTAAAGGACTGTATTTTTTTTTCTCTTGGCAAAGTGCATCCCCTGTGATTATGTGTAAAATATTGAGTGCATAAGGGTATTAACACTTTAGTTGCTGGAACATAGGAAAGTCTGGGGACCCACGGGGAGGGGGGGCTAGTAATGGCACAGGCAAGGCAGACAGCAAAGAGAGGGGCACCTGGAGGAGCTCGTACATACCGTTGCTATGGAAGAATCTGACATTTTAACAGAAAGACATACTGGTTATCAGCCTTGCTACCTTATTGACTACCTGTGTCATTCCTACTTAGACTGTTAAAAAGTGCCCTTTCTACTTAATTTTGCATTCTTTAGCCATCCAGCCTGTCACCAGCAGAACTGATAGTTCATGCCGATTAAGCCACTCAGCTCAGAGGTTTCCTCTGCACAAAAGCACCTCCGGGCTGAGCTGATCCTGTGTGCCTGGCACACCCTCTCTCCTGAGGGCACCGGCTGCTGGCCACTGCCAGTATTAACCGACAGAGGGGGAGCTCTTACCACTCCCCCCAGGACATAGCAAGAAATGACCCACCCAGGAGCCAAAACCAAAATCTTCACTAACGACCTACTCCTGCCATAGTGGGTCTCTCCTTTATTACTGGGGAGGGACTGCAACAAAATCATCCTTCTCCTTTTCCTAGAAATACCTCTAAGTTACCTTTTTCGGGTGCCTTTGCGGTTAGTTATGACCGTGTGTCTGAGTTCTGGCCAACTCAGATCATGATTGAAAGTGACGAATGTGCCTGGCATGTAAAACCGCTCCTGGGCGCCTCTGGGTTATTTTTATGCCTTCCCCTGGGATGGCTGTGATTATAAGGCCGAAGGGAGACACACACACCACAGGCCCCTGGATGGCCTCCTGGAAAATCGCCAGCCCGACCTGAACGTCTTGCCGGGACTATTAAGTGAGCAAGAAACAAATTTCTGTTGTGTAACCTCACAACGGAAGTGGTGAAATTTGTTGCACGACCAAGTCTCCCCTAATTAGGTAGGTTAATCAGAGAAGGATTCCGGAGGGGCTTATAGGGGGTCTTTGGGTCAGCTCTGCGCTGGCCCAAGGCTCTCACGTCTATCTCTAAGAGGTTAAGGCCTCTATTTGCCAAATTGGAAAACACACCGTACACGCATTTCAGTCTCAAAATCAGCTCATTACTCAATTGTTCAACCTCAGACATGCAAGGCGCTGTTACGCACATTTTGATACACAGACTATGGGCAAGACCACAGAACGGGAGCGTTCACTTGGTAAGTCAAAAAAGGGAGGGTGTCCCAGTCACCTGGGAGAACCCAGGGGTGGACTAAAGTAGGTTTACAGTTGCTCATGTGGAAAAACCCACACAGGTTGTGATGATCACAATAGCTTTATTAACTGTGTGTTTTGTGTACTCACAGCTATACGTGAACCTCAGGAGGAACCACGTCTATGTTGAATAGCTTACGTAGCAGATTCAGTTGGGGTTCTACATTAATTTGATCTCACCGACATTTATGTTGAAGCAATAGTAACTTTGTCATTGCTTTGTACGCCTTTAATTGTGAGATTAGCCAGCCTTCATTCAGCCCTGTCAGGAGCCTTAGAGGAAGGTGGTAGCCTATCCCCAGCAGCAAAACAATAAAATTCCCCCACTATAGTCCACACGAACCCACACGAACTTGACAAGAGAGTTCACCCCCCTGCCAAGCGCCCAAGGGCCGCCACGGTAAGGCCCCACCGACACGCTCCAACTCACGTCTCTCACTTTACTTTCCAGTCTTCTCACCGAAGGCCTGTCCTCTGTTTCGGTGACACGTTACTTCCCCAAGGTCAAAGAGGAGAATGGGCGCCCTAAACATATACATTTCCCCCTCAGATCATCCCAGCCCCACTCCTTCTTTCTGTGACAACAAAATTCAACTCCCCAGCTTTCTCAGATTGTTTCTGTTCTCCATTCTTTATGCAGAACTTGACTGCCCGGAGAGATGTCATAGATAAAAATGCTGTCTGGGTTCAAAACCACAACACGTCTTACCTCTCCCGCTGTGTTTATCTGTATCATCTGTTTACCCTCTTAGAAGATTGATTCCTACTTTCTCCTCTCACAAACGTTTGATACCTTCTCCTAATGCTCACCTTTAACTCGTGACATTGCTTCCAATTTAATGAGACCGCATAGGAACGAGAAGAGGGCTTCACCAGCCTGCTACTCTCACATACAACAACCTATCTGTGCCTGTATCCATGTACTCTGCTCCCCGCCTGTTCTTGGGCATGAACTAATTAAAATGCACCTTCTCATTGCGCAAAACTGAATGACTGAGAAGATAAAGGTGGACATCTATCCAGCCTTTAGTACAAATTACCCGAAAAAATGCATACGTAGGAATTTTCTCAGGTCCACCGTGCACTGGACCCAAGCCCTCTCCACGGTCAAGGGCTTTCTCCAGCAATGAACCCGCTTTTCCTACGGCACCGACTTTCCCTGTTTCATAATCGCTTGTATCAGCCTATAAATGTGCTGTGATTTTCCCCACGCAGCTCGTCGCCTTGACACACACCCCCTTGGACTCAGGCCACTGTCTTGGAGCTCTTCTCTGTTACAAAACAGCTCCACCAAAGAGTTGCCCACAGGCTCTGTCTGCAGTTCCTTGGTTGGTATCCCTCTGAAACTAAATCCGTGCAAGCCTCGGCCGCTCCCACTCAGCTGGGACATTTTGTGTGAAGGCCACCAAGACGTCCCATATGCCAAAGGCAGGTCCCAGTCCTCCTGTGATGGCCCTTTCAACGACATCTGATGCCTCTTCCCGCTCCCTCCCATACACGTTTCATTCGCTTCCTACCTGGGAAGTGACTATTTCTTGGTGTCTCTGTACTTCACTAACATCTTTGATGTGCTGAAACTTTCTAGCTTGGTGTGGTCCTACATGTCTCTCTTTTTCTCTCTCTCTTCACCCCCCCCCACACACATATGTATCTGTGTGTAGCATATCATCATATTGAACACCTTAAATGTGTGTAACTTTTTAAATTTATTGATTGGAGAGAAAAATATCGATTTGTTGTTCTACTGATTTGTGCACGCTTTGCTTGGTCCTCGCATGTGCCCTGACCAGAGATGGAACCCACAACCTTGGCATACTGGAACTGTGCTCTAACCAACTGAGCCACCTGGCCAGGCCAGTATGTACACATTTTTATTTGTCAATTATACCTCAATAAAGTTGAGGAAATAATGGAAAGGAAAATAGAGCTTTTACTTTCAAAACTAGATATGCGTACAAAGATCACCTAGAAAATATTCTCAAACCTTATTTCCAGAGGGGAAAGAAAGACCATTTCAAAATATTCTTTGGGTGAAGAAATCTGAAATTCCCATTACATTTTTATTTTAATTAAATGTATACTACCAAGCCCTTCTTTAGAAGAGTATCTTAGGTGCAGAATAGAGAAATAAACCTAATTCTGTACCCCCTGCATCATTATTCTAATGGCAATGGTGACAGTCACATTGTGACCATGTAGAAGGATGTAATTATTTTAAGGAAATATATGCTGAGGTCTTTAGAGTAAAAACTTCCTACGAAAAGATGTTCAAATTGTTGACTGTGAGTGATGACCATTGTAGCACTTTGTTCAAGTTTATTGCGTAAGTTTGAAAGTTTTCAAAGTTAAAAACGGGAGTGAAGAGGAGGATATACGAAGAGCAAGGATAAAGCGATAGCTCTCCAATGTACTGCTTCCCCTCCACACCTTCCCGGAAAATGCCCGAATGAAACCAGGACAACGGTTCTGCAATCTGCTTCAGTACGACCTCCGCGCCGCTCTCTCAAGAGTTAGTTTTTATCTTGGCTCTTCTCTCTTTATAACAAGAAGTCTTCCTAATTATTTCCATATATCACCTCCAAGAAAAACCAAGATAGAAAATAGGGAAGCAGCTATCTGTTACAACTTTTTTTAAAAAAAGCTTTTTATAAAAAGCTTCCAAGAGTGCTTAGTGTCCGTGTTTAGAATATTTCACTCTCTCCTCTTGCCTGGTTCCATTCATTTGTACTGCTGGTCAGTTGGGTATAGCTCAGCGGCATCCACATCTAAAGAATTCCATAAAGAATACAGTTGAGAGTAGAGGTAGCGAAGGAGAGAA